TTGTGCTTACAGCGTTTTCGTATTGTTCACATAGACCACCTCTCGAGCAAAACAACAAAATAAATGTGAAATTTTTATTGAAATGCAGAAGATCAGACAGAGCGAGCGAGGCGAGCAGCGGCGACGGCGGATGCGGCGTAGCGAGGTGGGCATGGGCAATAAGCAGCATCGCCTCCTGGACGAGCAGGATTTCCAGTTCTTCCAGGCTGACCATCTCTTCCAGGGTTTCCTGGTCCTCCTGGCTGACCAGCTGGACCAGGTCCTCCTGGTCTTCCTGGTGCACCATCATTTCCGCGTCCTCCAGCTCTTTCCTGGAGCTCCAGTTGGTCCAGCAGGTCCTGGAAGTCCAGGAGTTCCTCTTCCAGTTGTACCAGGACTTCCAGGCTGTCCAGGCTGTCCAGGAGATCCAGGATTTCCTGGTGCTCCAGCATCTCCGGGAGGTCCAGCTGGACCTGGACCACCATCATTTCCGGGACCTCCAGGACGTCCTGGGTTGCCATTAGGTCCTTTGTTTCCAGGAGCTCCACTCGGTCCGGGTGGTCCTGGAGGACCAGCTGGGCACTGAACACAAGCCGGTGTTGGGAGGTGGGCAGTTGATGGGAGCGTAGGTGGTAGTGACGTCGTTACCAGGTTGGCCAGGTGATCCGGGCTGTCCTAAAAATTGTGATTGTTGGCTTGAACAATTGAAAAACAATAAAATGTTGACGAACCAGGTGCTCCAGGTCGTCCAGGAGGTCCAGGAGGTCCAGGTGGGCAGTTGACCGTTGGAGTCGTGCACTGGCAGTAAGAAGGAAGACCGGCCTGTCTCTTCGATCGGAAGATGGAGCCGAATGGATTCTCACGAGGCTTTGACGGTGGTGCGACTGTGACTTGGAAATCCATCATTTGGGTCCAAGCAGAGTCAGTCTCGACACTTCCCACGACCTCAATCGTGAATCTCGTTGAAAGTATTGAAGCTGATGGAATCACGACCCAGTCAAGGCAACGATGGCCACGATGGAGAAAAGCCGAACCAACACAAAACGATGAGCTTTTCTTCGAACATGGCTACGTTGTTTATCCATTCATTAGCCGCTTAACCTTGCTAAATCTGGAGCATCGACCGAAACTAAGATGATTCGAAAGCGCTATCAATGGTGATTACGCTTTGTGCTCATTTCAGGTCTTGCTTGGTGAATGCGATCCTTGTCACTTGTCAGTCAAATAAGAAAAACATGTAATCAAAGAAGAAACGTGGTTCCGTTTTCTTTAGGTCTCGCAGCTACTAAAAAGTACCTGCGAAGAAAAAAAACCCAAAAATGAGGAGCGCTTAGCTTTCTCTAATTGTAAGGATAAAAAAAATTCGAGCTACTGTTATGCTCAACTGTATGGCATGCAAGATTGAAAGAGTCCACGTCAGTCGGCACCATTATGTCTTCTGCTCTGTTCCGGTCTCTAATGACGATCGAAAAGTTGAGGTTTCCGCTAATTATTTATTTCGAAACATTCTACAGGAAAGCATCTCTCCCCTCCCATGGCAGACGATGGATTATTGATATCCACCCAATCTAGCGTCTGTTGGATCAAATAAATAAACGTGACTCGACAAAAAGTTCCGAAAATGTCACGAACTTTTGGGACAACCTATATGTGTGCGGATGGCGTCAAGCTGTACTGCTTTGCGAAGACCATAATGCTCTTGATGCCATATCGAGATGGGCTAGAAGATGGGAGCTTACTAATTCCTTGTCGTCCTGCGTAGGTCCACATCGTTCATCCGCTCCTAGATTTCCAGTTGATGGTGGTGAACTCAAAGAGCCTGACGCAACTTAAGATTTAGGCATTGCGTAAACAAGCTCGTTTAGTCATTACATTACAAAGACCGTCTCATCTTTGTCAGATAGAACTTCTCATCACTATGACTTTTTGCCTTTTCTAGGCTATGGCGAATAGAAATCCATTCAGACCTCGAAAAAGGACAAATTATCGCAAAGAAGACTCAAGGACTGTCGAACCGTCGAATCGCACGGGATTTGGGCCGCACTCATCATGCTATCAACAATTTTGTCAAGGAACCTACAGGATATTGAGTTGAGAAGAGCTCTGGACATCCTCCTTTGCTGCCCGATCGGAATAAGCGCCGTATCCTGAGGAAAGCATCCAACTCTGCAGTGTCGTGTCGGGAAATT